ATATTTAAAGCACTATTGATAAGTCAATCCTTATCCTCCTAAAAGAACAAATTACCTTATACATTCTACAAATCCACTGTTCAGTTCCAATATAACTGTAGTCAGTCAATGGGACATTTCAATTGAAAAAAGCTAGAAACACAACAAGATTCCATTGATTGTCTCACACACTCCAGAATTCATCTTTGAATATGGGATCATGTAGTCAGTCTCCGAGATGAAGGAGTTAAGGTGTCCAAGGGGAATATCTCCGAGGGAAGATGAGCTAGAACAGAGGTTGGCTTTCATCATAGCATGGGTGCTTACACCTAGCGGGAGGAATCATGCTCTGCTGAATGAAGGAGATCTGGTCTCTATTTTTCTTTTAAAATCGAGTTCTACTTCTTTAACTCCTACTTACTCTTTTCTTCTTCTGGATCACTCCTTCTTCTCTTCTGTTAACCACCCGATCTTTTCTTGCTGCAAGAATGTTCAAGAGATCAAGATTTGGGAGACAGAAAAATAATGTCCATCTTTTTATCACAACTCTCTTCTTTTTTATTTTTCTGGATCTGTAATATTTTACTGGTTTCTAACATTTTAAACCTTTAATGTATTATGCATGCTTTATTTTGATTAACTGCTTTTTTCTCTATTTTTTATGAAGCCAAATTGGAAGAAATAAATATTGAATAAAGTCACTAACATAGAAACACCTAGTGACTTCTCTGTAGGATTAAAAAAGGAGTTTTTCTTCATCAAATAGAGGGAGATTGATGTTGATAGTGAAGATCTTAAAGATTTGATGAAGTCAAAGGGTTTATGGGATAAGGGATGTAGTGTTTAGTAAGTCTGCATCAATATAAGTAGGTATAATCATCTATCCATTTCTACAGCATGAGGTTCTATCATTTGAAAGGAATAAAAACGCCTCTAATCATTTTAATCTGTTAAAAATCCTTTAATAAGTTAATATGCTCTTAAGTCTCAGATTTAATTGATATGTTTACTGATTAATCAATTAAAATCAGCTAAAAACACTTCTGACACATTTTTAACCGATGTATTTTCAAAATAATCGATTAAAATCACTTAAACTAAGTGTAAGTATGATCAGTCACAGTTTTAATCGATACATATTCAAATTAGTCGATTAAAAATACTTAAGAAGCTTTACAAAACGTTTTGTCAGTATTTTAATCGATTAAACTTCAAATTAATCGATTAAAATCACTTAAGGATTTTTGAGTAACTGTTTTTAATCGATTAAACCACAATTTTTATTAGCTAAAATATTTCTAGAAAGTGTTGTAAAATATTTTAATGAATTAAACGACGAATTAATCGATTAATTAAACTAGTTTGTTAGAAAAATCTTTATATAAACAGATTTACTTCAACATTTTAAAAACATATATTTTAGAAATCATTCAAACAATCAATCGAGATCTTTTCAAGAGAGAAGTGAGCCATTTTCAGTGGAAATTTTTAAGTTTTTTCTTGAGGCATTTTTGTATTCTTGCTTGTGAAGAAACTTATTCTGCAATGGGATTTCTACATCTACATAATCAGGTTTGATTATTCTAATTTTTTCATTCTTTTAATTCTATTTTGTATTGTCTTGGTGTCTGGAAGATTGGGCACTAATTTTGCAACTGGAATTTGGGTGCAGGTTGGATTCAAGAACTGAAATTTAGTTATTGGTGTAGGTTTGGTTCTGCAACTAGAATTTGGTTGCAGGTTGGGTTCAAGAACTAAAATTAGGTTCTTGGTGCATGCTTGGTTCTATAACTGGAATTTGGTTGCAAGTTGAGTTCAAGAACTGAAATTTTGTTTTTGGTGCATGTTGGATTTTCTGTAATTTGATTATGTAAATCAAACTATTCAATCTAGTGGAACTCAACTGGAATTTGGTTGAGAACTGGATGTAGCCCAGTGGTTTGGGTGAACCAGTATAATTCTTAGTGTTTATTTTTCTCTTCCATCACTTTCTTTAATTCTTCTTGAACTTTATTCAATTCAGTTTGGTTTTCCTGGTTCAATACTTGATCAGATTTCTTAATCTTTGAAATTGTTAATTTGTATTTGTAAATTGCGAAAAAATTTGTAAAGATCAATTCATCTCCCCCTCTTGATCTCAGCCTATAATTTTAATAGGATCCCAAATCTTGGTGGGTGATGCATGGTTCCGATGACCCTTTACTTCAAAAGCTAGCATTGAAGCTTCTTGTACAACCTTACTTGTCATCTTGTTGTGAAAAAAGTTGGAGTACTTATTCTTTCATTCACTCATTGAAAATAAATAAGTTGAATCCTAAAATAACATAAGACTTGGTTTACGTGCATACTAATTTACGACTTCTGGTTAGGCAAAGTGAAGAATATAACCAAGGTAACTCTAAAATATGGGACATTAGTGGAGATGCATGAGATGACTTTAATGATGTTGGAAACCTTAGAGTGACAGACCTTATCTCTTGATAAACTAGACATGGAAGTTTTTTTATTCATCGATGATGCTCAAGGAGGAGATGAAATTGATACTATTTTTATTTCTAAATAATAAGTAGTTATTGTTAACTTTTATTTTACATTTAAATTTTTTAAAGTCATATATACATTATAAAAAAATAAAATAAAAAGGAGCATGAGTTGCTAATGCCAAGGCCATTTTGAATCCACCTGATCATTTGAAATAGAGGAAGACGAGAGTGCTTGTGAAGTCTGGTTGTGGCTTCATAAGAAGCATCACCAGCAATTCTTGCAGAAGTTGAAGACGAAGGTGATGGTAATGATCAAGGCGAGATCATATTTGTTAATTTTTGAAGTTATTAGTGATATATTTATATCTAGTTAGAAATGGGAAGATGGTGTAGTACAGTCTAACCCATAGGAGCACGCCCGATGGAGAGATAATGGAGAAACAAAACAAAACACTTGAGATTTGAAATGAAAAGTTAAGGTCTCAAATGATTGAAATGAAAAAAAAAAAAGGAATCGAAGGTTGTTTGCTAGTGGGCTTCATTCGTAGAAGCTTGTATTCAAATTATTTTATGCTTAAAGGATGAAATTTTTTTACCAAGAAACGGGTTGGCAAAGGAGAAGACGCAGAGACCAAGAGAAGGAAAAGTCTCCTTCTTCCTCCAAGACGGAAGCGATGAGTAAAAGAGAGAACTGTAAAACTAAGAGTTATGACAGTGAGAGAAAAGGTAAGAAAAATTGAACTCTTTCGTTATGCTTTTCAAGGTTATACAAAAAGAAAGCTAAACATTCCTTCAATAGGTAAAGGTTGTTACAAAAGGGGTAAAAGAGGGAAAAGAAAGAAAAAACTCTAAATAACTAGATTACAGGTAAAATAGAAACCCTAAGACCCTTTAGGTCATAATACCCTCCCCTCAAGTTGGATGATGGATATTTATCATTCCAGGCTTGGGAAGAATAGATATGAAGGAAGCTCGATGAAGCGATTTGGTGAAAATATTTGCAAGTTGGTTGTTGGAGCTGATAAGAAGAAGATGGAATAAGTTGTTTTTTAGTTTTTCATGAACCACATGACAATCAATGTTGATGTGCTTCGTTCTATCATGAAAATTAGGGTTTTACACGATATATCTAGTAAATTGGCTATCACAGTATATAACAGCATAGGCGTTAGGTGAAATGTTGAAATCATGAAGGAGATAGTGCATCCATTGTAGCTCACAAACGGTAGCGGCACAGGTTGTGTATTCAACTTCTGAGGAAGATCTGGAAATAGTGTTCTATTTTTTTTATTTCTAGGAAATCAAAGAAGATCCTAGGAAAATGCAATATAACCAATGATGTTGCGTCTAGTATTGGGACATGTTGCCCAATCTAAGTCACTGTAGCCTTGTATTTGTATGTCATTATCTAAGGGAAATAAAAGACCATGAGTAGGGTTGGCTTTCACATATCTGAGAATGTGTTGAGCTACCTTGTGATGATAAACTATTGGATACTACACGAATGACATAATAAATAACAAAAAATGTTATATCAGGTTTAGAATTTGTTAGGTAGAGAAGCTTCCTTATTAGACATCTATAGGGTTCAAGGTTGATCAGTGGTTCTCCTTTTTCAAAGAGGGCTTTGATGTTGCTTATGAGGGGGGGGACTGGCAAGGTTTACTATCCATCATTCTAGCTTCAATTAGGATGTCCAGGGAGTATTTTATCTGACATAGGTGAATTCCCTTTTTGGACCTAACAATTTCAAATCCTAGGAAGTATTCTAATTTTCCTAGATCTTTGATTTTGAAGGCTTTGTGTAGAAGAGTCTTGGTTTTTTCAATTTGGTCAATACTATTTCTTGCAAGAATAACATCATCTACATACACAAGAAGAGTGGTAAAAGTAGTAACAAATTTGTGCGTAAAAAGAGAGTAATCTGACTTTGATTGGATATATCCTATAGAAATGAGAAAGGAAAAGAGTTTTACAAACCATTGGCGGCTTGCTTGCTTAAGACCTTAAAAAGGATTTAGTCAATCTGCATACCTGCTCGGTCTTGACAACATTGAGTCCTGGTGGAGGAGTCATGCAAAAAAGCATTGTCTACATCAACTTGGTACAAATGTCAATTGTTTGTTGTTGCAAGAGCTAAAAGAAGCCTTAAAGTAGTTAATTTTGCAACAGGGGGGAAAAGTATCAAAAAAATTTGTTCCTTCTAATTGTGTATATCGCTTAGCAACAAGTATAGCCTTATATCTTTCAATTGAACCATCAACATTATATTTAATTTTAAAAACCCATTTACACACTATAGTTTCTTTCCACGAGGTAAATTAGTAAGAAGCCAAGAGTTCTTCTTTTCTAAAGCCTCTATCTCTTTGTTTATAGAAAGGTTCCATTCAACTTTTTACTAACTTCAACATATGTTTTGGGTTCATAGTCTTTGGATAAAGCAAGAATGTAATTTAAATGATCTTTAGAGAAAGACATATAGGATAAAATAAAACTAATGATTTCTTGGAAGCTTTGTCCAAAAATGGAATTGTGCACCTGATAAGGTTTTCGTGATCTATTGGATCTTCTAAGGTTTTGATCATTTTCTTCCTCTTCCTGTTGATTAGCTTTACTTCTAGTAGCACCATTATCCCTATTATCTTCATTTATACTACTATCATTGTTGACAATAGAATGTTCTAGAGAACTATCATCCTTTTCCCTGTTGTATATGTCATAACAAGTAATATCGTCCAGAAGAAAAATAAAATTATCTTGCACATCATTAATCTATTTATTTTCATAGTTAGAGATTTTATAAGGGAAGATGTTTTCATAAAAACTCACTTTGTGACTGACAATTATCTCTCTAGTTTTAATGTCAAGAAGAACATAGCTTTTCATACCAGTTTTGAACCCAAGAAAACACATTTTCTAGCTCTCGGATCATGTTTAGATCTAAAACTTTCAAGGGTGGAAGCATAAGCAAGATATCCAAAAACCTTCAAATTGAGATAAGTTGGAGGTTTATCATGCAATAATTCATATAGAGTTTTATTTGAAAGAACATAGCTAGGTAATCTATTAATAAGATGTATATTATGAGTAACAACATAGCACCACTAAGACTTAGGAAAATTAGATTTAAAAAAGTAAACTCCTGGCAATATTGAGGATGTCTTGATGTTTTCGTTCCACAACAGAATTTTGTTATAGTGTCTCAACACAACTTCTTTGATGATTTATACCAAAACTGTTATACAAATCAGTATCACCAAATTCATACCCATTATCAATTTTAATGGGTTTAACAACTATACCAAACTGATTTTTTATATAAATAATGAAATTCAATAAAAGTTTTCTACTTTCAGATTTAGCATGCATAAAGAAAAGCCATGTGTGCCTACTATGATTCTCCATAATGCTTAAAAAATATCAATGATCATGAATAGAAGGCATAGATATAGGCCCCGAATGTCAGCATGTATCATATCAAAAATTTTGGAGGAACAACTGTCACTCTTAAGAAAAGACACTTTATGTTGTTTAGAAAAATGACAAATGTCACAAACATCAACACTAGAATAACGAATATAAGGAAAGGTTTTACAAATTTCTTTAATAACCCTATCTACTGGGTATCCTAATTTGTAATGAAAAAATTAATATAATATTTTGTACAATTTAAGATAGTTCCAACATTAAAATCAGTAAAAGAAAGAAAATTGTTAAGGTAATATAGCCCATTGTTGATGCTAGCTTGCCCAATCATCTTAGATGAAGTAATTTCCTGTATATGGTAACACTTAGCTAGAAAATCAACTTGTAGTTCAAATCTTTAATGAGAGTTTGAACTGAAATCAAATTGAAATTAAATTCTAGAAGATATAAAACATTAAAGATAAAATCTTTAGAAAATTGAACCATTCCAACAAAATTGGCAATGACACATGAGTTATTAGGCAACTTAATATTTACTGGTTTTATTCTATAAAAGGAACTTAAATGTTTTTTATTATGGGTTACATTATCAATAGCACCAAAATCTAGGATCCAGAATTTATTACCTTCTTTGGTGTTGGTGGTTGAAATATTGTTGTTGTTCCTTTGAATATGGCTAATGTTGTTGTTCCTTTGAATATGACTAATGTTGTGCCTAGAATTTTTTGGTTCTTCATCAAGTTTTAGTAGCTTCTTCATTTGTTCTATAGTGAAAGCCAGGTTTTTTTCTTTAGTATCTTGTCTATCACGTTCAAATTCTCCACTTTTTGATCATTGTTGTTGTAATTGTTCCTTTGTTTGTATACCATTGAGGGTATCCATGCATGGAATAACATTTATCAATCGTGTGATTCATTATGGGAGTAAGAATACTGCTTCCCATACTTCGAATTCCTTCCTCTTCCTCTTCCTTGAGTATGCTGTGCATTTTCGCTTCCCTGTCCTCTCTAAGATCCTTGCTCTTGTTTGTAATTTCTTTCAACAATATTAAGTAAAACTTTACTTTCAACATCAAAATTATTAGTGTGCCTTTCTTGTTGCATAATCATGAAAAAAACTTTGTTCATGTTTGGCAGAGGCTCCATTAAAAGAATATGAGTTTTAATGTTATTGTAGGAATGATTTAGGCCCATTAAAAAATATGACATATTCATTTTCTCTAGTTTTCGTGGAATTTCTAGGCAGATCACATTCACAAGGTTTTCCACAAACATAGTTGGGAATAGGCCTTAAAAAATATAATTCTTCCCACAAAGTTTTCAAATAAGTATAATACTATATAACACTTTTCTCACCTTACTTAGTGAACTTCTTGCAGAATATCTAAGACACGAAAATAATCCTCCTTTAAGAATCTATCTCTTAATTCATCCTAGAGCTCCTTGACATTGTCAATGTATACAACACTGTCAGTTATTTGGGAAGACAACATTCTATTGATCCAAGAAAGAATGGTCACATTTGATCTTTCCCATGCTTCGTAGATAGGATCATCTTTTTTAGGAGTCTTGATGCTTCCATCTAAAAACTTGAGCTTTTTCTTGGACAGAAGAGCTCTCTTCATACTTCTGCTCCAAGAAATGTAGTTGGTTTCATTTAAGAATTGAGGAATAAGAATAGAACCAAGGTTTTATCCTGGGTGAAGGAAGTAAAGACTTCTAAGGATGAGAGACTGATCTATGTTGTTGGTCTGTGTGGTGGCAGCACTAATATTGGTGTTATTCTCCATGATACAGACATGCAAGATCCAAAAACCTATTAAAAAAAGGGAAGCAATGGAAAAAGAGGATGCCTTAACACCCACTCTGATACCATATTGAAACTATTTCATTCTTAAAAGATGAAAATGTTTTACCAAGAAATGTGTTGACAAAGAAGACATAAACACCAAGAGAAGGAGAAGTATCCTTCTTCCTCCAAGACGGAAGCCATGAGCAAAAAAGAGAAATGTAAAATCAAGAGTTGTATTAAAGAGAAAAGGTAAGAAAAACTGAAATATTTTGTTATGCTTTTCAAGGTTATACAAAAAGAAAGCTAAACATACATTAAATAGGTAATGATTACAAAAGAAGGAAAAAAAAAACTCTAAATAACTACGTTACAAGTAAAATAGAAACCCTAAGACCTTTTAGGTCACAATACCTTCATAATCCTCCACATTCTCACTCTTCGTGCATAATGCTCACACACATTTTCTTATGCTTTATTCATTATATCTATTACTTCTCTCAAATATAATGGATTAACTTCTTTTTTAACTACAATGTTTTTCTTCATTCAACAATAAGTGCATTATTGAGTATTCTTACATGTAGTTAAAATGGTCTTGCATGAGTGTATAAATCAATTTGTATTTAAAAGAGAGTTGTTGTAAATAACTTCACTAATGGTCAAATTTCTTTAAACAATGTTGTTGCTCTGTGTTATGAATTTGGGGATTGATGGGTTAGTTTTTTGGAGTAATGAGAAGGTATTTGTGTTTTGTGAGAGTGAAAGGAAGTAATCGGAAGCATGACAGGGTGTGAGAGTGTAGAAATTTTCTCAATTCTAAATGGAGGACGTTTGGGAAGGGGTGGAGGAGTATGAGTAATGCACGGTGGGAAAAAAGTTTGACGAAAAATTTGACAAGTGGTTTCGCAAATGGAGCGTAGGACATCCAAGAGTTGTGAACTATTAAGTGGTAAAAAGTTGATATAATTATGCCTTGAATTGTTATGAAACCACTTAACTTATGTTAATTCTAATATGTTTTTCTCCCAATATAGGATGAATTCGAGAATACCTTGATACAAGAGTAAGGAGCATAATTGTCAGCATAATTGGAGTAAAATTAAAAAAAAGAAGAGCGCTTAAGCCAATGAATGATGCGAGACCCGACCCAAATTCTCTTATAAAAAGATAAATTGTGTTTTGAGAAAAGGAAGTAGTCTTGGAGATGAGGAGGCACGACTACTGTTAGAGTTTTGTCTAATCTTCATCAATTCTTCACTTCTTTATCAATTGGAGCATTGTAATGGCCAACATGAGTGGCTAACTTCATTCTCTTAGGATTCGGTGCACTTCCTTTGAACTCTTTTGTATCATGGTGATATTTTGAGATATTAATCTATGCTTTGATGTTGTTATTCTTATCCTTTATGCTTTGGAATGATTTATTCTTGATTGTTTGAGGTATGATTGGAAAATATATCTTGAACCCTAGATCACGGTAGGAATATTTGTTACGTTAATTTCCAGGAATGGAATGAATGTATCAAGTGCTTAAACACCCTAACCCTAATGCTGGAAAATCTCTTAATTGTGTGAGGAATCAACATTTATTAGGTTTTCTTATGAATTTCATGTGTGAGGAATCAACATGGATGATTTGAGTAGGTGGCATCAACATTGTTAGGTTAATTGACATTCTTAATTGATTTAGTCATTACAAAAGAGGGATAAGGAAGGAAGCCAATCCTAAGTACCTTTAATTGATATTTTCTCAATAATTTACAGTTTTTTGTCATTTAATTTCAATTCAACTCTTATTCGCAAAACTCAATCTGTTTAATCTACTTAGTAAGCATAATTGGGAATTTCCATTGAAACTGTTCCTCGTGGGATCGACTTTTATTTAATCAAAATACTATACTGCGATTGATAATTTTGGTACGCTTGCCAATAATTCAACAAGTATTTCTAGTGCCGTTGCCGGGGAATGGTGTTCTTTGAGAACTCTTTGTTTAGCTTATTGAGTATTTTATTTTTATTTTTGTTTTTGTTTTATTATTATTATTATTATTTAGTTTTTAGTTTGTGCTAATATTTGCTTGAGTTACTCTTTTGATTTATGCGTTTAAGAGGACAGGTATCTTTAGAGCAGCTTAGAATTTAATCTAGAAATTGAAAAAACAACTCGTAGGAACCAGGGTAGAAAAAGAAGGGAAACTCAAGAACAAGCTACAAGAGAATCCGATAATTCTTATTTCACACTTGATTTACCAAACCCAATTATAGAAGATATGGCGGAAGAAGGAGCAAATCTGAATACAAATCCAAATCAAAATCCAAATGCAAATCCACCTAGAAGAACTCTTAGAAATTGTGTTATGCAGCAAGGTCCAAGGCATTTTTCCAGCATTGTCATTCCGGATGATCATACATTGTAGATGAATCCATCCTTCTTAAGCTTGATTAGTGTTCATCAATTCACTGGATTGGATCATGAAGACCCTTATATTCATTTGTCTACTTTTTGTGAGTTGATTGGTACCATGGGATTTAGAGCAACAAATCTTGAATCTACA